GTCACGAAAGAACTCAAGAAATCTCCGAATTGTGGATAAATATGTTGTAGTGAGTCACCAGAGCCTCTCATGGGAAGATTGAAATCACCAGCGATCAGGATATTCGGAGTACAACGGGTAGAAGCTAAGAGGAGGTCCATAAGCATATCATCTGAATCAGAAGCGGAGCTGGGAGGACGGTAGATACATATGACTCGGGTTTTGGAGAGAGTTCCGGGCTGGTATAGATCAACCAGCTTTACTTCACAACTGCAGTTAATCTCGATTGCAATGCTCTCACATAATAGCGATGATTTAACCAATATGCAAACTCCTCCTCCCTTCTTACGTATTCTATCAGACCGAAAAACCATGTACGGTAGATTAGAAACTATTTCAGCATCACTTATTTTCGAAGATAACCACGATTCCGTGATAAAAAGAATATCGGGGAGTCTACTAGTCAAAAAATGGTGTAATAGTTGTAGCTTGTTTACTAAGGATCTAGCATTGAAAAGAATACATCGCAAAGAATCTCCTTGCCCACAACTCAGTTTCCCTGCATTGCAGAGGAAACGTGGTATGAGCCTATTGCAGACTGAGAAGAAGAAGGATTGTTGCCACCCAATGAACTGGCAAGCACCAGCTCACCCTTGTAGACAACATATCTATCTTCAAAGCTCCGACTCTGATTCAGCTGCTTAGCCTGGTCCCTCAACTCACGCTCCTTTTCTCTTTCACGAGCCGTCATGCTACGCCGGATATAGACTCCCTTATGACGAGGAGAATCTTTAAGCAGTCGGGCTCGGGAAAGAGCGGAGGCCCAATGACTCCTCGATGGCAGTTCTACTTTTACCAAGCGCGGCATATTAGTCGTTTTTCTGCTCATGCGAAAGATCTTAACTGGCCGACACTCCAAATCAAGAACATCTAACACCTCGCGAACTTTCTTTTCTGTATCCTCTTGGCGCGCTGAAGCGGTTGGTTCATTGCAGAACTTGGGGGGAAGGGCCGTATCCGGCGGTTGTTTGCCACACCTCTTGCTCGACATTATGATGTAAAATTTATGTTCTTGATATTATTAGTAAGGTTATTGTTAGGCGTTGTTTCTTGCCTATATGCTCGTTTCTTATTTATATGGGACTAGCTGGCTTACCCGGCTCCGCCGTATGTTCTGAATAGAAAATTCCATTTCTCAACCGATCCGGACCAAACTTGGCACACATACACTTCGGGCCCCGGCGGGTGTCACAGTCCACTTTTCGTTATCGATTGATGTCGATTACCCCCCTGTGCCAACTTCCAGCCCCATAGCTCAAATTTTGCAAAAAATCGATAAAATCGATTTTTTGAGACTTAACTTTTTTTTGATTTTATTTTTTTAATTTTTTGAGACCAAACTTCGCACACATACACCGAAGTGTATGTGTGCGAAGTTTGGTCCCGATCGGTTCAGAAATGGAATTTTCTGTTCGGAACATACGTACACACAGACATACAGACATACAGACATACAGACAAACAGACATTCAGCTTTATATATAAGATTTCAAAGCGGTGGGGGTGAAAGATTTGTGACATGAAAATTTAGAGCAACGTTTGCGCATGTTAAGCACTATAAAGCAAAACAATAAATAAAACTCTTGATTATAACACCAAGATTAACAAGTAACGTCGGAGAACGGGAAGATGCGTAAATTGAAGTGAGGGATCATGTGACGTGCTTTGCCGCAACCAGCTTGTCACAAATCAAATTCGACTTTGGCCACCGTTTGCGTAGCGGAATCACGATGATTATACAGGTACTGAGTAAAATTCCGGAAAACTACCTCGATTATGTCTTGAAGAAGAACAAAGCGAGACCTATCTAAAAGAAGAATGCTTGCAACTTGTGAAGCAACTTTCTTTTTGTTATTTCCTGACATTAATCACAAAACTCCGTCCAACTTTAGAGGCAATGTCTGGGTTATTATCGCCTTCAATGTTTTTGTCATTCTGGAACCTTTGTGTGGCCCTGAATCAGATATAGGGTTCGAAAAGTGTGAAAAGTTCAAAAAGCTTTTACAGATTTTGGAAACAGGGACGACAACTCTAACCTTTTTTCCGTCAACGCAACGTGAGATCTGACTGATTACAGCGGATACAGTGACAATATACATTGGCACAACTGCGTTTCCATTGTTTTCGCCACGTCAAAAGAGTGCCCGAGCAAAAAGTCGATTATAAGATTTTGTGCTTATCCGGACGTTTTCGCTATGCTGAATCCGAAAATCCACAATGGAGACTGCAAAAACAGCGAAAAAGGACTCTAACGCAGCAGAGTGATCACTCAGACAGTCGATGCCATAGCTCCGGAGGGCAGTCGAAATCTAGCAGAGCTCCGAAGAACCCCAATTAACCATTAAGAGCGGGGCGATGGGGCGGTCCCTTCTGTAACGCCACGGAGACGTCACAAGCAGGCGAATGGGACCCCTCTCTGGGACGCGCAAATCTCTGCTCCGGAGGTGCGCCAGATTTGGAGGAGCCCCGGAGCAGAGATTTGCGCTCCGGAGGTACGCCAGATTTGGGACACCTCCGGAGCACAATAGGTACGCAGCCAATTTGCTGTGATACGTAGCTTAGCATTTTCGAAAATAAGCTATCGTCGCTTTCGAATTACTCTTTTTTTGTCGTTCTTTCGCGCTCGTTTTCATTTTTTTGGTTTTTCGTGTTGCTAGTCGGCGCGTAAGCGTTTATGTTGTTTTTTTAAGTTCCTCGTTTTCAGGTTCATGTTTCGGATTTTCGTGCAGATGCACTCAATAACTTTTGGTATTCGGCTCTCGTTTTCGATTTGCTGTCGTTTTTCCGCGTTCTTCATCATTCCTTTTCATTTTCGTGTTGCTCTTCGGCGTTTTGGCGGTCATAATGTTCTGAGTTTTTCTTTTTTCAGATTTCAGCTTTTAGGTTTTCGTGCGGATGCACCTAAACCATGCTTTTGGTGTCCGGCTCATTATATTGTAGGGACACCTTCGTGTGCATGTCTATGGCTGTAGATTGTAGGTAGATTTTCAAATTTTCTTGGTATTATTTAACGTCAAGACAATTTCACGTTAAATCAGGTGGGTTGTGATTATTCTTTTTGATTCGGTTTTTTGTTACTCCGCCTGCTTTGCCGAGTATAAAAATGGCGCCGACGCAGATCGTCCAACTTCTTCAATTTCATATCCTGAGCTTTTCCTACAGTATGCGAAGGTAGAGGAACTGTGAATTTCTGTTGGGTTGCTTTCAGTGGGTATTTCAGACTACACGCTCCGTGATCCCGTTTACAAAGATTGCTTTTCCTGAGATGTGATCCTGATGTCGACATACCACGGCAACCGCTTTGTGATAATGGGACCAGCATGAGGTAAGGCTTAGGAAAAGTTCGATAAATTGCCTTCAGCTTGAAGGCAGCATCCAAGCGAATCCGAAACTTGGACTTTGTCTATACTGGTCGGGGGGGGGCATTAGTGATTTCTAAAGGGGCAGCATACGAAAACTGCAGTAGATTAGAATGTTCCGCAGCCAATTTTCCACACGCCAATTTCGTTGTTGCTAACCAATTTTCTTGTGTGACGTGTAGTTATTCTCTCAGAATTTCACAGTTTTCGATGGTTCCCGGTGAATGATCCATGCCGAAAAGATTTGCAAGATCATGAGGGTAGATTAAGATTTTTGTGGTTAGATATATCTGAAAGAAAGTTTCTAGAATGTTATGATAGTGGGAGCGCCACTCTTCGGTCTGAATAACTTCAGCGGTGCTCGAATCCAAGAAGGAGTAGATTCAAGAAGAAGAGTGCAGAAGAGTACTCGCAGAACGTGAGGGAGCGATGAGGAGTCTAAGGATAAGCATTTTTGACACCGAAGTGAAGGGCATTTGCAATTTGCAGTAAATTGTTTGCAGTCAATTTGAAATAAATGTCTTGTCTCTTCATTCTTCTATCTTCTATCTACAAACGCTAGGGGTGAGAGGGAGGGGATAGACGGGGCTGAGAATCGCGCTGAATTCCTACCCGGGGTGGAGGAGTCGTATTCGGCAATCGTATGCCACACCGTTTGCTCGACTCTGGTCTAGAGCTAATTTGGGTGGGGTTTAGAGACATAATGGGGTTTGGAGCTTAATTAGGGCTAGTTACAGTATGCTGCTGCAGACTTCCGAGCACAAAATGGGAGGGCTTCGGAGCACAAAATGGGAGGTCTCCGGAGCACAAAATGGGAGGGCTCCGGAGCGTGAGTGGCAATCCTCCGCTGGGAAGAGCCCGCGACCCTGCCACTTCTGCTCCGGAGGTATCCCATCGACTGTCTGAGCAGCAGGTGGGAGGGGTCTTCCTTACTGTGGATTCACGTTTCCAGCTTCAGATGCGATCTTCTCGATTCCGCTAGCCACCTTGACATCGCCACCGGTCAAGTGCAAACGCGTGACTTGAAATAAATCGGAACCGAGAAGATCGCTCCGGAAGTTGGAAACGTGAATCCACAGTGAAGAAGACCCCCCCCCCTGCTAATTTTCCTCCTGCGTTAAAGCCTTTTTTGCCATTTTCGCGCACTCCGGTGTGGCTTTTCGGATTCAGCATAGCAAATAAGCCGGGTAAGCACAAAATTGCAAAATCGACTTTTTGCTTGGACACTTCCTTCAAACACGTCAAGGAGAAGTAGCTTGGTGGGCGGTTGCGAAGTCACGCCTATTGAGCCGTATTCGAGTTGCAAGGGTACCTAGACAATGCCTTAATTCAAATCAATGGAACTAAACTAGGAAGTCAAAGACATGTCAATACATAAAAGTCTTGCAAGTCACAAATATTGTCACAGAAGGTTTTGCATGCATCAAAGCTAAGATGGAATAGTTAAAGCATAACGAGCGCTGTGCTGAAACTATTCCAGACTTACGGATCATTACGAACCCAGCCTAATTATTAAACTAAGGCAGAGAAGTTTTAAGCGCAAGCTTCACGTTTATTGAAATAGTGTGGATTCAATTACTGACAAATTTATCAAAACAAATCTTAGTGAGCATTATAAATAATGAGGTGTCCGCCGACTATATTTGACTCAATTCCACACTCATCTGTTCCACGTATTATGCGGAAGAAACCTAAATTTTTTTGTCAATAACTTCTCGCAACACTCAAGTTCTTATGGTGTAAGTAGATTGTGTATACACACCGTTTTCTCCCCAGTCAGTATTCCACGAATTTGCGACCAACCAGTAAGGAATTGTGCCGCTTGTCTTATCTACTCCCCATCCAACAATTTTCACTGCGTGCGCTCCTCGTTTAGATCCAGATTTTTGCTTGAAACGAACATTTTGACATATGAGATAAAGAAAATTCTAAGAATACTTGCAAAGGCATACGATATAAACTCCTTTTGTATAGTAAGAAAAATCGGAGTAAACTTGGAAAGTTGCGATCACTGATCCATTATCATATATTTCCCTTCTGATATCAGTCTCGTTTCCAAGGACATAATAGCTATTTCTTCCTGAAAATATCAACTGTCTGTCGCTCTATCGAGTAGTAGACACGCACAAATTCAGAAATGTTACGGTAAATAGAATATTTACCCCAAAACTTGTCTTCATTATAATTCTTGCGATATCTGAACTGACATCTACTACGGCAAGTTGGTGTTTTCCAAGTGTCGGATTTGTATGGGCCATAATATTTTGGTTTGCATGTGTGCCACATGGATAAAAGGCGTATGGTTTGCAGCTATTCTATATTTTATACTTTTTTTGAGGCGTTACAAATCCCTTTCTACTTTGTAAACCTTGTCACCATATGGCCCTCCGGTGCAAAGACCCGATGATGTAAAGTAAGTCCAGGCTCGAGAGGCCCATCCACCCTCGCATCTAAGTTAGATATCTTTGCAATGGTATAGTCTGCAAAATTCATATATCATCCTACCCATGACCGCATTGTGATCCATAGCATGCGAGTAAATCGGTGTCGGAGATGTGTATCTGAATGAGTTATTGAAGAAAGAATGCCAGCAACTTTACCGATTCTTTTCAAAAGAGGTCTACACTTTTGAACTTATTAATGGCAAGGAATACCTTGAGTGATTGTTAAAAAGCTTGGGTACAGTCATGTTTAGTTATTACTGCGAAAACATCTAAAAATCTCAAGGCCATCGACAGAAACTTTTATAAACCAAAGCTCCTATCAAACTGCCGTTAAGTTTGTACTTGGCAGTCTAGGGTTGCAGGAGGCTAGGTAGAAACTATAACGCAGCAAACGTTATGACAAGAACTGATATGTGATTTCCTCATGAAAGTTGGTAAGTAGAATAAATCGTTGCGCTAAAAATTGCGGTAGACCCACAAGCAAATGTTGTTTTACTAGAGGAAATAGTCGTGCATCTAAGTACTAATTACTCTCTGCTACATAAATTAGGGACTGTTTGTTCCTTACAAGAAAGGATACGAAGAAGTGGTTGCCTAACGATTGATAAAACATTAGTAAGAGCTTAAAACCTGATTCCAACCGTGTTCCCTTCAAAAACAAATTGAGACAAAAGTTATGATCATATCGAACAAGAGGTGTGGCTTATGACCGCCGAGAGATTTGCTTCAGCAGCAAAAAGTCGGATTTTTTCCTCAATGCTCACGTCGAAAAGCATCCAGAAGATAGATGAAATTCCGTCCCTTCCGATCCAGCTGAGAAACTGCAGAATTTCTTACTCAACGCAGGTTTGTGGAGCGAAATACATGTGAGTGCATCTTCAAGGCAAAAAAGCAGATAATCAGTTCTTTTTAAAGGTATGACACAGCTTGACCAATGCAGCTGTTTAACGTTTTTGGATGTGTGCCTACCTAAAAAAATTCGGGAGCTAAGAAGTGCTTCAATCAGTAAAAACTCCAGGTGGACCTATAATTTTGGCCAGCCTTCAAGCCTGCTTTTTTTTTGAATTCTAATTTTTTCTTGAATAATCAAACGAAAACGAGAACCGTTTTGTAGACTGATAGTAGGCTGGTAAAAACAAGTCTGTACCAAATTTTGGAAAATTTCATTCACAACAGAGTGAGTTATGGCATTTTTTAGAGTGGACCTATAAATTTGGCCAGCACTGTATATGGTGAAATAATAACTCAAATTGATTTCCAAAACGAAATTAGAAGCCAACCAAAATTTCGCTCAGCGATTTTTTGCTTCCATTCGTTGTGTTTCAGCAACTGTCACTCAGACTAGAGGAAACGAATCAAGTTCAAGTGGATTCTATGTAAACTAGGAGATAAAGGCTATCAATTCATATGTGACTCAAAACTCTCTCCATGATAAGTATTGCGGTTGTGCGAAACCCTAATTATCTACCTTCAAAGCATTCAATCATCTGTATTTCTATATCATTGGAACCAATAAACCTTCTTCTCTTCACGTAAAAAATTGGTGGACACGACACTTACTGTGTATCTTGCATTTGATTGAATACATAGATCTGACATCACTTCAGCGTTTGCTAAGGCCCAGCAAGATCCTGAAATAAAAATAATTTTATTCGAAATTTATGTTGACCTCGGCTTGTTTGTAAAGTAAATTGTTTATAGAAAAGCTCTTAAGCTTTTTTCTGCCATACATAAAAGCTCACTGCAGTTGGATTGATCTCGAATGTGGCCAATTATCTTGGCGCATTTTGGCCATTTATCGCGTGGGTCAAACCTGAATGTGTTAGTTTGAAATTCACTCCTTGTCCAAGCCTGTTCTTCATTATTGGAGATACTTTATTGAGGAGGATTCTTTCATGAATAGCGAAAACGCAGATTTTCTTGATGGATTTGGCACTGTGAGTGCAAATTCATTTGTATCCGTCATTCTCATCCACTGTCTTGGAGTGTAAGAATATAGAGATTACAATATTGAAGTTAGTCAAGTCAAACGCTCCCGCTCTCTTGATTACAAAATACTGGCCATGTTGTCTTGAATATTTTCTCCGTTATTACAGTTGTACACTAAGTAATAAGCGAAGTATTAAGTGCGACTTTTACGTTGTTTCTGTGATACGCAGCATTTGTTGTGTTGTTACCTTACAAAGACGTTCAAATCTTTTACAACTAAGAAGATATTCTATGTTTTAAAAAGCGCTGATAGATGATCGTAGTATATTCCGCTACATTTTAGTCATCTCAGATTGCTTGAATCAATCCCCTGTGATAATTATTAAATGAGGGAATCCTAAGCATTAGAAAAACACATAAAAATTGAGTATAGAAACCCCCAAAGCACTTGACGTTCCGGAACATCGAACTTTAGTATTTTGTGGATATGATAATTAATTATGACAATTAAAATTTAAATCTCCAAAAAGTGTTTCGTTTGCTGCGTGCATGCGTTTCATTCTACCAAAAATCGAAAATGGAGTAAATGGTCTTGTGAATCCACAAACAACAGATCTGGGGTCGGCTCTCAATAATTTTACATATTCTCGCGGAGAGTCCGCGAGAATGCGGCTACTGCGCCGCAACTAAGCTGCGAGAAAGCTGCGATTGTTCTCCGAACATTCGTTCAAAATTTGGCCTACATTCTTCCAAATATCTATAGGCGGACTCCAAAAAATCAGCAAGTGTTTTTGCGGTGCCCGCTTGTCCATAAATTGCATAGCCGCCTGTCCCAAGCGATTATCTGAGCTGGTTGATTAGATTTAGTTTGCTTGCAAATGGGGCGTGAAAATACGTTGAAAGCATCGGATAAGGTCTCAAAGACAAAACTGGTAACTCAAGCTTTTTTGCAATGGCATTATCAAACTGCGCTCATCAATCCCAACCCTACTCAAATTCTGAGTCCGGAAAATTCCCATCGTTCCTTTCGAGCCGCCCCCATGAAAGCAAAAAAACGTTTATTATGTAGGAGCGTTTACAAGACGCCATACTTAACATTAAAAAAACTTTTTCAATTTATGATAATTTTTATGCATTATAGTTGCTCGTAACCGCCGCACAGAGTGTCGTTCTCCACTTGTGTGATATGCGTGAAAATGGTGTATACAAAGAAAAAATAGAACACCGAAATAACCACATTTTTCGAAATTGAGGAGAACGAAGCCGTGTACAACATGAATAATGCACAAGGAGCTGAAAAAAAATCGAAGCGCTGCCAGAGGTCAAAAGACTAAGGGCACTATCTCCTATCTTCATATTGCTTGTAACGACTATTTTTTTCTTCGCGTTTAGAAAGTCGTCGTAACTCTCTAGCACGATAGAGTTCGGTTGAAATTGCTCATCCGTAGCTCACATATAGAATAAAGGATAAAGGATTCGGCGTCTTCAATACTCTCTGCGGGCAACGTACTCTACTTCAAAGTCGAAGGGGCTAATGAATACGCGCGGCCTATTACAGTAACTGGCCGGAGCCAGCCGATTACCAGTCAGTGCTTTTATCCTCGAACTCTGGTACCAATTTATCGGCCCCTGAGGGTAGAGGGCTTGGCTGGCCCAGAGCGAGATCCAACCTTTGTCCGATCTGGTCATAGTCGAGCTCACTTGATAGTCATCATAATATCAAGAGTAGTCATGTTCAAAAAGAAAAAAGTTATGAGAAAAAATTGCAGAGCTCATTTTCAAACCTATTACTAATGCAAAGTCTAAAATCACTCTCTGGCTGAGGACTCCTTATTCAATATACGTTGCTGTGTCACTCTTTCGGCAAAAGCTTTTGGAGCTTAAATCTGTAAACAATGCTATTTTTGTTCACTTGGACCAGCCTGCCCTTTATCTACATGAGTTATACGTTACTTCTTCTATTCCTGGCAACACAATATAATATCACGTCCAAATTCCACTTCAACTTTGTCAATGCGATAGCCACAATAATCAGATTAAGGTATATGTATGTGTGATTTTACTAACCATACTCACCTTTCAGGGAGCGGATCGTCTCCAACAGATTTTCTGCGTTCTAACAGCTTTTCGGAAAGAGGATCATTGAGGTAAATTTCATCAACCGTGACTGCACAAATTGTTCGATACCAGGTTTATATGTGGCCTACATTATTTGCACATAAGATCGATAAGATTTGTAAGATTATTTGGACATTCTGCAAAGCAACAATAACGTATTATCCCGAACTTTATGCGGTATATTGTAGAAGGTTTGATGTAAATTTATGTAGTCCACCTGTTCGGTAAACAAAAGGTCTTCGGAGAGTGCGAAAATGCTAAACAAAAGGTTTTCTATGTACGTCAATTTGTAAGTTTTACTTGTGGAGCAAACCCCGCCGTGATTAGACCCCACCTGCACCTCACCACTGACTTGCACCGCTTTGCAGGCTTGTAGCTCGGCCGGCAGTCAATCTACGAGCCTGCACATAGGCTCATTCGAAAGAGCGGGAGTTCCCCGATACGAGGGTATGCAGATGAGTTGGGTTTGAGAAACATTGGAGAACTGGCGGATGGGGTGATAAAACGCAGCTTCAGTTGTAGGCTGAGGATTTTTCAGTTGAAGTTGAGCAAAGCTCCTTTCGCCACCAGTTCTATCCTGGAAGTTCAAAACTGTTAACTTTCTTGTGATAGACCTATTTCGGAGCTCTAAGACGGTTCTGCTGATAAGAGCGTTCACTCCGCCTCTAAGGCTGCGCTTTAGCACTCCATCCGTCAAATCTTCGGGATTTCTCAAACCCATATCATTTGCATACCATCTGTCGAGGAACTCACGCTCTTTCAAATGAGCCTATGAGCAGGCTCGTAGATTGAGTG